GTTCTTCCTCTAGTTCTTGTGCCACTGAGACAGAGTTGCTGTTCGCAAAATCACGATTGGCAATGGAGAAAAAACCGTCAACAATTCCGTTCGACAATTTGCTCGCTAAGGGCGGAGTGGTCGTGGTGGTTGAAGTTGAAGAGGCGAAAGTTGTGGTTTCTGGAGAAGTTATTTGCCGCGTAGCTTCAGCTGCATGCAGACGATTTTCGTCAAAAAATAGTTCTTCAATCGTCGTTCGACCATTATTCTCGGTCTAAACATAGCAATATTATACAATATCTAATTTATAAATAAACTCACTTTTGTCAGTGATGGAGGTACTTCAATAAGGTATACATGTGGTTTTAAAGACCTAAATCATCATTACGTTATAACTCAAAACCTTAATAGCCAGCAATAGGCCAATATGGCTCGAACTAACCAGTTATTGGTATACGCCGGATAACTAGTCGGTTCTGCCAATGTGGTTTGCTTCAGTGTTGGAAAAGACGTTGAAGGTGGTGTCAATAGATCGTACAGTTGCGTTAGTTGTAATAACATTTGCGATTTATATATGGGAAACTTAGGTGGTGAAGATAACGATTGCGACTTATACGCTTGTGATCCTGCTGGTGGAGAGTCGCGTGAGACTGCACCCATGCCTAAATATAAAGTTACTGTAACTCAGTTACGGTATTGATTTAGAAAGAATTTACTTACACTTTGGTTTGAAACATGGTTGGCAATTTTGAGGAACGAAGCAGGTAATGCCACATGGACAATTGTCAGTGTTTGACGATGACTGGTCTGTAATAGTCAAGATCTTACAGCTTTACAAAAAAATGAAAAGTTGAGACATTTGCTATCAAAATCGTTTACTACTTGATTTCTTCATCAATAGGTAGACGATTTTAAAGGACAAGTATGTTCCTAAAACTCTTAGGATTAGATGCAGAACCCTCCAGAGTAGCCTCAAAAAAAATGGGATGAATCATTTTCTAATGCAAAGCATAAACTGCGCATGACACACAAAGTTGCCCTTTAACAAACACTTAGCAAACCCAATATGGAAATTATAAATGGACAGAGTAAACAAATCT